ATATATATATAATATATAATAAGGTTTAATTAAGAAACAACTTCTTCTATCAGAATTAAGAATCCTTCTACAGACAAATATTATGAAAGTAATTATTTTCTCTATTTTAAAAAAATACAATTTTAGTATAAAAAAGATATTAAATAATTATTTTAGGTTAGATAATATATAATTTGATCATAATTAATTAGCATTAATTATGAATTTCATATGCATATTATATTACTATTAATTTTAATCAAATATGATTTTATATTTAAATATGAAAAAAATATATTTGAAATTTATGAAGAATATGTAAAATAACAAAATTAAGATAATAAAAAAGAATTATAATTTTGGTATGCATTTACCACTTTCAAATCCTAATAAAAATTGTCATGATTGAGTGATAGAAATTGTAAATTTGGACCTACCATAAAAGTAACACTACTGAAAACACAACTACAAAATAAAGTTGAATTATAAGTCTTGTGACTAAATGAAAACCTAACATAAAATAGAATGAAACTAAAATAAAAAAATATCATAGGTTTAAATTAATCATATCCAAGAAGATTACAACCTCAATTTCAATGTCATTCTATATCGGAGTGTCATCATTGAGTGCTCTTAACACTATAATATAAATATATATAAAAAATCAATATACTAAAATGATGATGAGGAACAATATGAAGAGATGTAAAATCTAAAATTATATGATAAATCTAACAAAGAGGTTTCATTTAGCAAATTGAGTAAAAAAAAGTTGATTAAATTTTAGTTTGTTATGTTAATGAATTTTCTATCTTAACTAAAAGATTATTATAAGGTATTAGAAGAAACTACACATATTATCGTGAAATATTCTTATGAAAATTAAGTGAATGTTTTTTTAACAAATTGAACTATCTTTCATTCTTCATTGACATTCTCCAATCTTTTTTACTATTTATGTGGATTAAAGGGTTTTGACGAAGGCGTAGTATCAGGTACACTCCTAACACATGATCTTTGGTCTTCATCCTTCAAATTCAATGCAACATTCCATCAATACAAAAATATATTAGTATCCAAATTCAAAACCAAAACTTTTAAATTTACTCCAACCCTTAAGATTTGTGGAAGATTTGGCTTTGACAGAGCCACGACCAGTGAAAGTGAAAATTTGGAGGATTTGAGGGATGGCCATGGAAGGGGTGGGACATAGTCATCACAATTTTCACTTCAATGGAGAAGCTAGTTGGTGCAATTGTTGTGCGTATGTGATGAAGGAACGACCATCACGATTTTTGCTTCAATGGTGAAGCCAATTGAATTGGGTATAATTGTGGTGTGTATGTGACAGAAGTGTGGCCATTGGACAATTGCGCGTATGTGACCGAGGTGCAACCATTGATTTTCACTCCAAGAGAGAATGATGGTAATGGAACAACGAAAGAGATGGGTCATTGTAAGTGAAAAAGAATGATGGCATAGAGTTCCTTAATCCTAATATTTATGATTTGTAGCTATAGAGATATATAATTTATGGTTCTAAAGATATATATTAAAATAAAAGAGGCACTTTAGAATAACACAAACATTTTTACTAATGTCCACATAATACAAAACAATTTAATTTTTATATTATAAATATACAGAAATATCACTAGCTGAACTATACATTAATTGGTGTTTATAAATACTTAAATTTTATATTGAAATTTTTTTTATATAAATAAAAATTTGCGTACCAACTAAATTGATTGTTTGTTGGTGTAGTGGTTATATTACACGTCAGGTTCTTAGTTCAATTAGTCCAAATTTAATAATTGCAATAATAATTAACTTTATATTAAAATATATAACTTAGATTAAAAAATTATAAATAAAATTAATATATAAGAATTATTATTAGTTACTTTTATTTTTAATTAAAAAGTGTTCTCATTTGAAATATATATATATATATATAATAATATTTAATACCAACAATGTATATAAATTAAAACCATTACTTTGTATAATTTAAGTCAAATTACACTTTTGATTACTTTTTTTTTATTTTTTATATATATGTAATTTTGTCCTTTTTATTTTAAAATAGAGATCTTTAATTTTCTTATTTTTTAAAATATAAATGTGATTCTACTGTTAATTTGATATTTTTTTATTGATTATCATTTAAGTAATGTGATATTTAGTGACATGGTGATGTAATATATAAAAATTAAAATTAAAAAATAAGATACAAAAGATTTTTATTTATATATTTTGATGAATGACTGTTATTTATTTTATTAATAAAAATCTTATTTACATATTTTTTAATTTCTTAATATTATATTATTAAATGTGATTTTGAAATTTAATGATTAATAGATGTTAATTTGATAAAAAGATTAAAAATTTATATTCTTAAATTTAAAGAGATTAAATAATTTTTTAAAAACAAGAAAATTAAAATTACATATTAATAAAATTATAAAAAGACTAAAAATACAATTTAGTTTATAACACATATAAAATATTGTCATTCAATAATATTTATTACATGCATTAAATTTCACGCAGTATATATTTTTAAAAAATTGTTCATATATTATATTTAACTAAAACCATTAAATGATGTTGAGCATATATATATATATATATATATATATATTTTGTGCATAAGGTCATACATCTGTAATTTGGACATGCATATATTGGTTTGTTTTTTATGATCTCTCTATATATATATATACGGGGAATGTTAATGTACTCTCACCTATTTTTTAGTGGGATTACACCAAAATTTTAGGACAAAAAAACTACTCATTTCTTTTGATTTGGTTTATTTGTATAAAGGATATTATAGTAATTTAATTTAATTTTAAATAAAAATAAAATATTTTCTCTCTCTTATTAACTTCACTCTAAGTCATTTATCTCTCTTATTAAATTCCTTCTCCTACATGAACCAAAAAAAAAAAAAAAATCCTTCTCCTACTCATTTCTCTTTCCTATTAAATTCTTTCTCTAACATATTTATCTCTCTCCTATTAAATTCTTTCTTTTAACTCACTTCTCTCTCATCTCTCATGATATCTCTCCCATTTTTCTCTGAACAAATAAAAATTAATTAATTAAAAAAAATAAATAAATTGGAGAATGAAGTTAATAAGAGAAAGAAAATATTTTATTTTCATTTAAAATTAAATTAAATTACTATAATATCCTTTATACAAATTAATCAAATCAAAATAAATGAGTGTTTTTTTTGTCTTAAAATTTTGATGTAAGTTGCTAACATACTCCTACTAAAAAATAGGTGGGAGTACATTAGCATTCCCCTATATATATATAGAGAGAGAGAGAGGGGGAGGCCAAACTCCATGAAAGCAAGAACGGAAAATAACACCACCTTTTCTCACTCTCTCTTAATCCTTTCCTGCTAATTAGCACATGAATCCCCCTACTTGCAAAGTGCGTTGTTACTCATCACGTACAATCGAACAAACTCAATTCCAATTTTAAAATTAAGCCAATTAATTCATGGTCAATAAAGTCAAATAACAGCAAATTAAAGAACTCGGATCTTTTTCCATCCTGCAATAAAGAATTTGAAATACGTACCAAGAATGATCAATTATTCTTTCTCTTCTCATTCTTCTATTGAATTCTCTTCCTCTTTCACACCCCATCTTCTCTCTCTCCAGACTCTTGTATTGAGGTTTCTGCAATGGCAACCTTTGGAGAAATTGGGATCTCATATGCCATGAACATTGACTTTGCCTTTGCTTTATTGCTGGCTATGCTATTCTTAGGTTTCTTGTATAGAAACATTAAAAAAGAGTATCAGTTGGTCTTCTTTATAATTAGTGTATCATTAGGAATAGTAGGAATTTTATGCTTTAATAGCCTATCTTCCAGTTTACAGGCCTTTAGGCATCCGGTGAATACTCCAATGACAACAATGCTGCCACCAGCATGGAACACAGAGACATCTCTCATGCACAACATGACAGACCAAGAGTTGTTCCTCAGAGTATCCATGCTTTCAGGAATTCAAGAGTTTCCTAGCTAGCAAGAAGGTTGTTCCAAAAGTGGCCTTCATGTTCTTGACTAGAGGTGCACTGCCCCTAGCACCCTTGTGGGAGAAATTCTTCAATGGCCACACCATCACCAATTTTACTCCATTTACGTGCACCGACATCCTTCTTTCAATGCTACCGTGCCAAAACATTCTGTATTCTATGCAAGAAACATTCCTAGCCAGGTTTGCTTCTTATTGCCTATATTCATTTCTCTTCAACTCTATCACTAGCACACTCTAATTAATCCATACAACGTCTGAATAAAGTGCTTAATTAGCTCTTACAGTCCAGACTAACTAAACACTCCTTTGCTGGCTAGGATATAATAAGATAAATGTCATCATTTGTTTCTTATGCAGAATAGTTTTGTCCTGTTTCTTATTCTATTATATTGATCTTCTGTATTTTCTTCATAAAGAGAGAGTTGAGTAGAAAATAACCGGATAGATAAACTCTTTAACTCTCCCTTTTTCTCCTTTCTCTCTCTACATTACATTAATATATTATATATATATTACACAAAATAATAAAATATATAGAAAGTATATTATATAATATTAATTTATGTAGTATTATATAATATATTACATAATACTATATAAATTAATATTATGCATATATTTTGTATTATTATATAAACTAATATATATATATATATATATATATATA